TAAAACCTTTAATTTTCATGTTTACTATATTTGATTTCATTTTATTGCTTAAATTAGTTCAAGCTTTTTGCCTCCCTCTTGGAATAGCAGTAGCATACATAAGAGAGTAAAGATTAAAATAAACCTTATTGTGGAAATAGTTTATTTCGTAATTTTGAGATTTTATTCCTTTTATCTTTTGTTATTAATGAAATAAGAAAATTACTTAATGCTTGTTACATTTTATGATATAAATCAATAAGTGGATTTTCATTTATTTCTATTTTATTTTTATAATGAATATAAATGATCTTTAAAAATTCCCTGGAAAATGCATATTATTGAAAACTATGGATAATTGTTTTTACACCAAAATAAACTTATCTTTTAATTCCATTTTCCATGAACTTTCTGAAGTACCCTTTTGCAAATGATCCAAATACAGGTCAATTCTTTCTCTATGAAGCCTATTAAATAAATCAAAGATAATGCTTTTCAGTTTTGAATGCAATTTGCTTTTTTCTTGATTTCCTCATCTCATCCTACAAATGCATTTTGTGTATGAGAGAGCCTCACTTTTTGTATGCTTATTACCCTACTAAATATTTGAGTGGTGACTTAGTAATATTGCAGTATTGCGTCAAGCGCAATTATTACCCCATATGACATTTTAGTAACATCCTTTGTACTAAAATAGGACTATTGTGAAGTGTTTGACACATGAATTTGAATCCCTATTTGCATCATTCTTTATACAGAAGTGTGGACTATACAAAATGAGCAATTATATATATAAAGGGAGAATTTACTGATGGTGATTAAGTTTATGAAATTTTATTGTATTTACAGTAAATTGCTTTATTTAGTTAGCATAATATCAGATATACTGCACAACTTTTAGCACCCTTTTAAATTAAATTAAATAGGCTATCTGAAGAATAATATGCTTATGGTAAACAACTGGATTAGGTTATTGTGAAAGTCTTCTAATCATTTTTATGTTTTCTTAAGTTAAAAATTATTGTGTTATGTAACCTTGGCTCAGGTACTCATCAGTTCACAATTTATTACAATAATCTCTCAATTGTCCTCTATATCTTTGGCTCCTTTTTTTCTCATCACCCCAATTCTAATCCAATGTATACTCAACCCATAAATTATTTATATCCACATTCATCTTTCATTACCTTATTTAAAAATAAAACAAAACTACAATAAAATCCCATTAACCTTTAATCCTATTTACAGGAAACAATTTAACACTTTGGAGAGGCATTCAAGGTTCTACAAACTGACACTGTTTGACCCAATACAAACTTTGTTCCAGCACCAGGAAATGTTAATATACTTTCTCTGACCCTCGTGATAATTTTGCTAAGAAGTTTTAGTTATTCCAGTTTTACAGCTGAAAAAACTGAGGCCCAGAGAACTTAACTAATTTTCTACATTTATACAGCTGATAAATAAAGGCATCTTACTTTGAAGCCATAACTGTCTGGATTCCACAAAATGCATCATGAAAAAATGGGTCATAAGGTTGTCTATGTTTGAGAAAATTATATGTAATATGCAGCTGGCCATTGAACAATGTGGGAGTTAGTTTTGCTCCCTTAAACTCGACTACTAATAGCCTGCTATTGACTAGAAGACTTATTGATAACATAGTCAATTTAAACATGTTTTGTAACTTATATGTATTATACATGGTGAAATATGCACAAAAACAAAGATATCACTTTTAACTACAATAAGAAATACACTTTTAGTAGCCAGCATTTTGACACAGTGGGTTAAGCAGCTGCCTGCAACACTGCCATCTCATATGAGCACCAATTCAAGTCCCAGGTTCACCATTTCCGATCCAGCCCCCTGCTAATGGGCTTGTAAAGCAGCAGAGGATGGCATGAGTACCTGTGCCCTGCCACTCACATGGAAGACCCAGATGGAGTTCAGGCTCCAGGTTTATCATTGTGGCCTCCTGCAGAGTGAACCAGTGAATAGAGAATCTCCCTGTTTCTCCCTCTCTCCCTGTCTCTGTAACTCTCCATTTCAAAGAAATAATTTTTTAAAAAAGAAAAAGTTGGGGACTCTGCGGGTTTGGAAGCTGGGAGCCAGGAACTTACTAAAGACACTGCTCATGCAATGATTATAACTTGTTTCAGACAGATATTCACAGGGCAGGATCATCAAAAAGTGTAGTAGGTGACCACACAATTAGTACTATAGTTAATTTTATGCAGTTATAGTTTAATGCTGCATCTTTAACATTTATTTTACATTTCTCTCAACTGGAATAGCACCATATATGGTCTGCAAATGTGTGAATAAGTTTTCATAAATTTTAACTTTTTAAATGGACTTATGTGTAAACTTGTTTACTTGTTAGTAAACAAGTAGGCTATTCACTACATATATTTCAAGTGTTCATGACATACCTTTTTGATATTTCTATGCTCTGCTTTTTTTTCAACAGTCTCAAACTCAAAATTTAATAAAGTCAGGTATAAGTGTTCTTGTGCTTCAAATCTACGTTGTTCAAAGGTCAACTGTATATCTATCTTAGAAATTCAAATTTTATATTAGCATTTTAAAGATTTGAAGAATGCTACAGTAACAAGTATATCCTATTTGGACTAATCAAGTACTTTCCAAGCATATTGAATCTCATTACGTTTTTCACATTCCAAGTATTGTAAAATTATTTGTTGTCTGCCTAAAATTTATTTATACATCACTTTTCAAGGCTGTGTTGGAAACTTAACACCTGTTTTGTACAGCCACAGTTATGCTACCAATGATATGTCTGCCTCTTCCTATCACAGTGGTAGACACATTACTCAGGTTGTTCAATCAAAGTATCACATACACTAGAAAAATTAAATATTTTGGCCGGTGCCGTGGCTCACAAGGCTAATCCTCCGCCTGTGGCGCCGGCACACCAGGTTCTAGTCTCGGTCGGGGCACTGGATTCTGTCCCAGTTGCCCCTCTTCCAGGCCAGCTCTCTGCTGTGGCCAGGGAATGCAGTGGAGGATGGCCCAAGTACTTGTGCCCTGCACCCCACGGGAGACCAGCATAAGTACCTGGCTCCTGCCATCGGATCAGCATGGTGCACTGGCTGCGGCAGCCATTGGAGGGTGAACCAACGGCAAAGGAAGACCTTTCTTTCTGTCTCTCTCTCTCACTGTCCACTCTGCCTGTCAAAAACAAACAAACAAAAAAAAAGAAACATTAAATATTTTAAAACTAACACATAACTTAGGGAAGACCAATTAGACTCTTTCCTGGACATTAGAAAAATTACCCTTTCTATCACATGAGTGTAAAGTAAACTCAAAGTCAAGGTATGAAGAGAGTAAGTAACTGAGATGCTCCTAGATAAAATTATATCTAAAGTAATATTTGCTTTATTTCATAGACATAACTGCCAGTGAATTCCCTTTTGGACCAAGTTAATTTGAATTGAGGTTCTATGTATTGCAACCAAAAACAGTCCTGGCACTAAAAAATGTATAAAAATGTGTGTACTATGCAATGTACTTTGTCAGAAACTGTCCAGATCTACACTAAAAAAGTGAATTTATTATCATAATATAGATTCCAATAAGCAATCCTTCAGATTATAACTTTCCAAGTATCATTTTATCATTTTTTTCTGATGCGATGGATTCTTGACTGCATATCAAAAGGCTGTATGGTTTCTTCTTTGTTCCACTACATATTTACTGATAATGAACTTGAAACATACTACATTTTATCTGATTACTACAAGTTAGTTTTTAGGCATAGTCCCTAGAATTTGCCCCTGTTTGGGGATGTTTGTGACAGTGAGTTTAATAAGGTACTGCTTCTGGTGAACCCTAGGAGGTAGTGAGAATAACACAGAGAGGAAGAAATGCAAGATGTACACGCAGATAAAATCCAGCCTCAGTTCCATCGCACCATAGGGAAGTTCTAACCCAGGAATGTACCTGAAGCAAAATCTCTCCAGTTCCTTTGGGGAACTGCAACCATAACAAAATAAGCCTGCAACCAATAGTAGCCAACACTCACAGCAACTGGGAGAAGAGGTGCTCCATCCATTAAAGGGATCTTGGCAAGGCAAAGACAGAAACAATGTCAACAATCAACTGATACCAAAACATCTTTGAAACAGCTTCGGGAAACTATGCAGCATCATCTAGAAAGAATTCATCATTCTGATCAGATAACTCAGGTTAATTTCCATCTCTTGAATTGAATTTGTGGATCACCTTGCATAAGTTACATCCTATCCATTGGCCTAGGAATAATAATAATAACAATAATAATAACAATAAAATATATTCCTGACCTTGTGATGACTACAGGTGATATGGTTGAAATTTGTGCAATATAATATGCAGTCAATGGCTAGTAAGTATTGATAACACATATAAAATTAAGCAGTTTGGCAGGTTTTCTAATCTCAGTACCAACGCGCATTTCTTTGATATATAAAAGTAATCTAACATTAAATTTTCACTAAAGACCCTCTCAAGGGGGCTGGCGCCATGACTCACTTGGTTAATCCTCCGCCTGCGGCGCCGGCATCCTATATGGGTGCTGGGTTCTAATCCAGCTCTCTGCTGTGGCCCTGGGAGGGCAGTGGAGGATGGCCCAAGTGCTTGGGCCCTGCACCCACATGGGAGACCAGGAGGAAGCACCTGGCTCCTGGCTTCAGATTGGCACAGCTCCGGCCATTGCGGCCACTTGAGGGGTGAACCAACAGAAAGAAGACCTTTCTCTCGGACTCTCTCTCTCTCAGTGTCTATAATTCTACCTGTCAAATAAATTAAAAAAAAAAAAAAAGAGACTCAAAAAAGTCCATAATGATAATATACCTCATACAGGCAAACTGCTTTCCTGTCTCCATTCTTCACCTTTGTCCTAAACTCCAAACCTCAAGGAAGCTGTCCCTAACATTCCAGTCCTTTGTCCTTCCAGGCTTCTCAAGTCCATTCTCCAGGATACAACCTTTATTATGTCATCTTGACGTTTTCCTTCTAAATCAGTATACCATCATAAGGTACCACAATTACGTGGCATAATTAACACTGGTTCATTCTTTCACAGCTCCGGAGGCTAGGACCCCGAAATCAAGGTGTCTGTGGGTTTGATTTCTCCTGAGACCACTCTCCTCTGCCTGTGACATGACTGTGTTCCCAAGCTCTTCCCTCTACGCTCCCCTGCGACTTTGTCTGCTCTTACAAGGATGCTGGCCATATAGGATTCAGGTCTGCCATAATATTCTCCCCTTAATTAAATTACCTTCTAAAGGCAGTATCTCTAAATATAGTCACTGAGGTCTTGGGGCTTAGGGGTTTGGTATATGAATTTTGAGGGGCCATAACTTGGCCCATAACATCTTTTATTTTCCTCTAGCTAATGTTTATCAAGCATTCTCTTTTTTTATGTTTAGTAATCTTATTGGCCTTTCTGGTTTCACAATGTTCTTTGTTACTGCTTATTATACTATGTATGAAAATGGTGCAGAAGTCAATCAAGTTCAAGAAAACTCTGTTGACCACTTATTGGGTAGATAAATAGGAGTTTCTCTGAGTTGCCACACACTAAACTTTCTCCTGTCAGATGCTGTCATAGCAATAGATCAGGAAACCATCTTAGTCTCAACTCTGATCACAGTGACATGTGTTAAAACAGGCAACAGTCATCTTACAGGGGAGGTGAGGCAGACCTAAAAGCACTTATTCAACAATTTTACCTCTTCCTTCCAGTATGATTTGTTTGACTTTAATTCTAAATCCAGTGTGGTAAATAGACTGAACTCTCAAAGAGATAGTATTTACTTTATGAAATGTAGGCCTCTAGCCAAAAGATGATAATCAGAAATTAAATTATTAGTTCAATATTATATTATTTATGTATATATAATGGTTTAGCTCTACAGAGCTGCTTGCTACGGTTGTTGATAACTGTTTTCTGGGGGCAGTATCAAGGCTGGGAGACACAGGCCATCGGAGAGGAGGGATCTCTGACATTTTTGTGGTAGGACAGTCAGAGAGAGGCTGACTACCAGAGAAAAGAAGCCATAATAGTGGTATCTTCCTCTGTTAAACAAAAACAAATACAGAAACACCTTAAGGTCAAAGTCAAGATCCAAAAAAATAAGAAATTAAAAAGCAGACAGTACCAATTTATAAATGATATAAAATTAAAATAGAGAAAAAGGAATCACCATGGCTTCTTTTCATTCTATAAGCAATTTTCCAAGATCTACATGATTATTACTAAATCGTCCAAAGCTTTTCATTCCTTCATTTCTTTCTAGTATGAATTTTTTAAAATGAACTCAATAGCTCAGACCCTTCAGAATCATCATTAGCTTACCAGTCTTTATTTATTAATGCTTCCTCCTTACATCTTGTGCTCCCTTTTCTCCAAAGTATTTGTAAAATTCTATTCTCTTCAAACCCTTTGGCTACCATAAATTATTTCTAATTTTCTTTCTTGTACAGAAAGCTCAAATAATGTAGCATGTGTTTGTGAAGTTTCTTCTTTGCCTATTTTCAATTTTTAATATCAGCTTTTTATAGCAATTAGAAACATAACCTGTTTAAATAAAATTACACTAGTAATTATATAATTTATCATAATTATGTATATAATACATGTGTGCATATGTATAATATGTATTTCTGTACTACTTGAAAAACAAATATATAAGGTTTATCTAAAATACAGTGGAGATTTATATATATAATTATATATAGTGATACTTCACATGTAGTTGATCACATTATATAGTAACACTAGAAATATCTGATTGAAATATTTGGCAATGTACCTAAAACACGTATTTTTGCTGTTACATTAATCGTACTTAAAATATCTGCATATTTCCTGGAGTAATGGAAGATGCTACTTAGATTTCACTTCTAGACTGAGGCACACCATTCCCCAGCTGCTAAGAGTACTGTCTTCTGATGACTTAGATAATTCTCTCTCAACAGATTGTCATCAATGGAAAAAACAAATGGTCCCAGGCATCATCTCCCTCCTGGAAATCAGCATGTATTTAGTGACTGGTTGATGTGGAAATATAAAAAGCTGATGCCCTTGTCTCAAATTGGAGCAATTGCGAATCACTGCCCTGAATCTAGAGCATCCCTGGGATAACCAGGCCCACTAGTGCAGTTATACCATGATCAGTTCTTACCTCTCTCCAGTTCTGCTTCCTTTTCTCTTAACATAGATGTTGACAATGAGGACAGTTCCCAACAAATTTTCAACATGTAAATCTGTAGTTTATAATTTGTACTGTTAGTATATGGAGTGATCCATAGAAGCAGACTCAAAAATGGGGTTTTGGAAGTGGACCACCTGATATTCAGGTGCAAAAGGAGACCCCATTGTTTGTAGGTTGCTACAACGCAACTGATAAATTTAATAACAGTGAAATGAGAGAGATAGAGACACAATGGCAGGTAAAATATTTGAAGGTTTTAAAAGGGTCTTTGGAAGTACAAATTATAAGAATAACAGTATCCTGATAACTCTTGCTTGGTGCCATTTATGTACTGGAGGAAGACAATAAAAAGTAGAAGGTGATTAATCACTGAAGGAAAGTAAGTGTGAAAGGCAGGCATCTTCCTTGGAAGCATAAAAAAGAGACTCTTATCTCCTAGAGCCAGAGGGCAGGAAAACATAAGGAAGAAGCTTGTGACTTAATTAAAAAGAAGAGCAGAGTTCCAGGGAGGAGAGGACAGAGAAAACTAATGAATAGGACTAGTGCCTAATTATACGAGTAGCAAAGTTTGGGAAAGGCTTGTTATTAACCCCCTCCACCTGCTGCAGATCACGACTTGGCACAGGGCTTCTATTTGCCATGCTTGAAAACCTTGAGACCCCAGAATACACTAAACTCTCTCAGAGCCTACAGAAATGGAACACCCCTTAACTGTCAGAAAATAGAGGGATTTTTCTTGCTATTAGATGTAGCAGAATCATCTGCTTTTCAAGGCAACATGTGCTCGTTAGTAACAATGCACATCTCCCCCATGGCCAGTCACCCGTTACAAGTCATGCCATGTCCAGGGAAGTTTTAAGCATGCTAAGTTAAGGAGACAAGGACTGTACTTCAAGGAAGCTACAGGACTCCTACTTGTCATGTTCCAAGTAATCTGAGTTCTAAGTGTACTGGACCAAGAGTGCTAAAACATGAAGTTTCACAACAGAGAGGGTATTGATCCACAAATATTCTCTGGTAGTAAAAGATTCAAAATTCAAGCAAGGATCTCAGGAAACAATACTAACAAGATGTCCTTGAAAGCATGGAGAAAGTAACGATTCACACCGAGTTAAATAGAAATGTCAATTGAAGACATTGAAAGGATCAAAAGTCTCATATTCAACCTAAGGTTGAAACAATCCTCTAGCTACCTGTGTTCTGCAGAGGGACTTGGAGAGCTTCCCATTAACAAAACGGTACAGAATTCTCTACCTAGAAGAATGCTAGCATCAACATAAACCTCAATTATTGGTATCTCCTGAGCAACTGAGTTGATAAATATATATTCTCTTAGACACTTGGTAGCAAGGGAGGTTACACACTCTCTTTCTTCCCCGATAAAAGAGGACAGGCAGATGCATTTAATTGTCAGAAACAAGTTGGGTTAGATCTCTTCTAATAAGTGACAAGGTTGCAATGGTAGGCAAGAAGGCCTGATTACAAGGAATTATGGATATGGTCAATAAAATGTAGTGTCTCTTGGATCAATAAATTTGGGTAGCCAATGAGGTTATTGTTCAAATTAGTCAATCAAAGTGATAGACATAGAAAAAGATAATCAGAAAACAAAAGTCCATCATCTCCAGGACAGTCAATATACTTTTCCATGTTTATGGTCCTTGAACCCACTTCCCTACCTGCAATTACTTAAGGAAACATACAGAGGGAAAGGGATAATACCCAAACATATGGAGAAATATTGGGTCTTTGTACTGCTACGAAGACAGTTGAAGGTGCCAGCACTGTGGCACAGCGGGTTAAAGCCACAGCCAGCAGTGCAGGCATCCCATATGGGCGCCAGTTTGAGTCCCACGTGCTCTCCTTCCCATCAGCTCCCGTCTAGTGGTCTGGGAAGGTCAGAGGATGGCCCAAGTCCTTGAGATCCTGCACCCATGTGGAAACCTGGAGGAATCTCTTGGCTTCTGGCTTTGTCCTGGCCTAGCCCTATTCACTGTGGCCATTTCAGGAATAAGCCAGCAGATGGAAGATCTCTGTCTCTCCTTTTCTCTGTAACTCTGCCTTTCAAATAAATAAATATTTTTTAAAAAAGACGTAGAATAAGACAGTTGAAGGTTTATCAGTGTTTTATTTGAAGCAGAGATTGTAATTATGACCTTCAGTTGGAGTAGGGGAAGTACAATATTGCATTTTTTGGAATAGACAAACTTTTCTTAGAAACTCTTTATTGGTTCCTTCTCTATGCCTTTAGATTCATTGTAGATAGGAAGGTCAAATGGAAACCTCTAAATTGTTCCTGGTTCTCCAATCCAAGAAATTTAATAAAAATTTTTATGTAATCTCAGGGGAATGGCGAAGAATAGAGCAACTTCTAAAGACTACAGGGATGTTGGAGCATAAGATACCCCATATAATTCACAAGACTTTCTCTGCAAAAAGCAAACTAATGCTGCAGATGTTGGTGAATTCTGATAGCATAGTGGTGTTGTGTTCATTGTTTCTGTCCTTCCAGTAAGTCCTTAACTCAAACAGCTTCAATTACATGGTGGTATATTTAATCTAAAAATTGTGATCCTCAAATGTGTTTTTTCATCCTAATTAGGAAAGCTGGTCGGAAACAGCTGGGATTGATTTGTGTAAAACAATTATATGTTCTACAATCTTGTCTTTTTATTATAAATAGTCTGAAGGCAATTAGACTATGAGCATTCCATGCACCATCACATAGTATCAATATATCAATCATATAATTTTAATAAAGCTGTATGTTAAAGGACTTGTAAGTATATTGGAGACCTTGGAAAACAACCTGGATTCCACATTAAACAAAATTACTTTTTTAAAAAAGATTTATTTTATTTATTTGAAAGACAGAGTTACAGGGAGAGGTCTAGTCAGAGAGAGAGAGGTCTTCCATCTGTTGGTTCACTCCCAAGATGGCTGCCACGGCTGGAACTGCACAGATCCAAAGCCAGAAGTCAGGAGCTTCTTCCAGGTCTCCCATGTGGGTGCAGGGTCCCAAGGACC